TCTGATTTTTGTCCTTAACCACAGGTCTGCAGCCATTGTGGGATGATTAAGTGGTAGGAAATAGGAAAGATTGAGGGATTAAAGGTGTTTTTGTATATAGATTTAGATTTTGATGTCTGTCTGCCTTAGACCAACATTAAACCGAAAGTCCCTGGCTCACCATGGCATGAGTAGAGTATGTACATGCTGACTGACTTTATTATTTAGGATTTAGTTTAAATTTTAGATATTTAAATAGTATGGATTAGGGTAAATAGGAAAATTACTATTCTCTAACATCCGCTCCACTTAAACTTACTTTTTTAGGTTTTCATAAGTTTCAGTCTTGATATATAACATAACTGCTAAATATCTTTGCACAGGTCATAATGCCTTAAGCTTTCCAAACCAAAAGTTGTTTGTACCTCTGTATTTTTTATTCAAAAGAAAAAAATTTAAGGGCTTTGGAATCTAGCTTTAGATTTCCAAAGAATGCTCGGTACAGCCTGCCAGACCTCAGGCTCTTAAACCTGGCATTGGGTTAACTCTGCCTTTTTTTGAATGAGCATTTAAGCATAATTAAAGTTAATTGCTTTTTGCATTCTAGAACTCAGCAAAAAGAAACTAAGTAAAACAAACTTTGAAAGATTTAAAGCATTGTGGCCTTTGCATAAGATTCCAAAAAAATTAAAATCTGATGCCCAGTGCACATAGAGAAATGTGACATTTTAAAGCTGAGTTGGATCCTAAATCTAGTTTAACTTTTTTATAGGAACTGATATAGGAACTGAGCCCAAGCAAGCTGTGACCTGCCCAAAATCACACAATCAGTTGGGAGAACTAGAACTGGGTTCTCCTAAATACCAAGCCCAGGCTCAGTCCATGGGCCCACCTCTGTGGAGAGCCTCTGGGAGCTCTTCTGGCCTCTTTAGCAATGCAAGTAAAGCTCTTCCCTGGGGTTCCTGTCATTGGAACAGGAAAATTCATGGAATGTTACTCAAATGTCTTCTTCATACACAGACCCTTAAAAGATGATCTGAATACCTTCATGTACATTCCAGTTCTCTGAGGATTGAGATATTCAGAACAGGGAAAAGTGGTGCCAAAAAATAATTCTGTATCGTAAAGGTGCCTGCTTTGACTCAAGCAAATCTGGAAGCTGCTTTGGGAAATCTGGCTTCAGTTACATATCCAGAGAGTTACATAAGCCCTCAGAGCATATGGTGACTTTGCCAGCTTGGTAATTTTATTCTAGTTAGTTAGTATCTCAACTTGAGGTTATGCTTCAATTTAAAGATTGAAATTTCTGTTTCTTCCCTTTGAAGACCAGTATTCTGAATTGCGCCAGGTATTTTCCATTGGGTAAATTTTTCTAATAATGTAGAACAAGGCTTCTTATTCAACATTAGTATCCCGCCACAGTGATATTCCTCTTTCTAGTGGTGTTTTCTGGCTCAAGAGTTGACCAAATTCAAAAGGGTTTACAATATCTTTTTTTTTTTTTAACCAATAAGCAAACTACATGGTAGATTTTTTTAGTTGCTGAAGTCCTCTAGCAATTAGAAAAAGGTTGAAGTTTATCAATACCTCTTTAAACACAATTCTTTATAATAATCACATTTCTGATATAAGTAAATTCTTCAATGTTTGTAAGTTTAATCTAAGTAGATGTCTGTAGCTCCCTAGATGTTCCTACTAGAGGTATCGATCGTGACCACATATTACATACTTAGAAGAAGTTTGTGCTTGTCTCGAATTTACATTATTGACATCTTCATTTCCAGGTGAGAAATGACACAGAACCTCTATAGATGCACAGCACGGAGATTCTTTTAGTGACTGTTAATATTTAGCAATTTGAGAGCTTCCAAGGGCTGGTAGTTTCAATAAAAGCACCCTTTTTTTTTTTTTTTTTGCAATTAGTTTATTTGTATCTTATATTGCAGACAGATTCCACCAACGGGGAGAATCCAAGCATCAAGAAATCCCTCTTTCCTCTTTTTAATTCAAAGAATCATTTAAAGCATAGTTCTTCTTTGAAAAAGCTTCCTGTAGTCACTCCACCCATGGTACCCATTTTTACGTATGGTAGCCCTGAAAACTACTCCAGTAAAACTTGTTTTACTGATGACAACAGCATGTCTTATTTTCATGGGGTCATATTCTCTTAATGCTAGTTAAGTACCTGAGCCAGTTCCATAAATTCACTGGGATATAAATTCTTTGGCATTCTGAATTTTCTGAATCAGTGAAGGAAGTTGAAGCATAAAGTCTATTAAACAAACTAGTGAAAGGCTGGTTTGTATTGCCTGATTAGCCAATTGTTGGCAGACAACATTCATAAAATCCTGTATTTCCTGTAAAGAATTCAATTAACATTCACAATTAACAAATGTCTTTGCATTTGGCTCGCAGAGTTTGTTAACACTTGGTTGGCAGTTTGTTTTTTTTGAAGCCAAGTTGAATTGACCAAATTGAATGAGCTAGCAGGCTCCATGAAAAAACAGCTTCTGTTAGTTGGTGACTTGCTCTTTCCTTGCCTGGCTCTAGCTTTTGCTGGTCACTTAGTTCAAAGCCAAGGCTTTTGCTTGGCATTTGACATTACTCTCCTGTGTTCACCAAAATTGGTGAATAGACCAGTTGCATTGATCTGGAATTTGTGGCACAAATTTCCAGCATTTTCCTAGTGCATAACACTAGACCCAGATTTGCTGGGCAATGGTTTGGGAATATGATCCAAACCATACTTTCCCACTTTGCTACCCTTGAAAGCCTACTAGACTTCTTTGGCACTACCAAATACAGTGTTTGGATCATTTTTCCAGCAGGAAAAACATTTTTATTTTATTGAACTGGTTCATAACCTAACTGCAATATGGAATGAGGATACGACAGCAATTCCTGGTACAGCCCAATTTAACTGCTCTCTCTTACAGCGACTAAAACTAACAGCATGGGAATGCTTTAAGGGTTGAGGTTTTAACAAAGCTGCATGACATCTGCCAATTTTTCCTAATGCAGGGAAAATTATTAAGAAGGCAGAAGAATTTAACTAGCATCACTTGCATTGTGAACATTGGGAAAGATTTGGTTTCTTTTTTATTGGGTTCTTTGTTTTGGTTGAGTTTTGGTTTGGTTTGATTTGCTTTTTGTTTTATTTCTCTTCTTGGGTATGGGTGTGTATCTTTATTAGGCTTATTGGTACGCTCACAGAATCTTCCTTGTCAATATTTTGCTCTAGGTGCCCAATTCTGAGGGCCCTGATCTTCTGACATTGCAGAAAGCCATTCACTCTGCTAGCACTCCGAGCAGCAGACCAAAGGAGTGGCGCCCTGAGAAGATCTCAGATCTACAGACCCAAGTGAGTAGAGCCTGCACTACTCCCGGACTCTCCCTCCGACTCAGCAGTGCCTGCCCCGAGGGGAGGGGAGGACATTAGCCTTCACTTACCAAGCGGGTAGAGGGTGGCACGGAGGGCGGGGAGATGAAAAAGGCATAGTCCCAGCCCACAAATACTCTATAGCACAGGAGAGAGAGAAGATTTGTAAAGATTTGAACCATAATTTATGGTAAGAAGTGAGGCATGCCATAAAATGTTGGGCAGGGTGACTGGAGGTGATGGGAAGGTTAAGTTTTCATTGAAGGTGGCAGCATACAAATTGGGCCTTGAAAGACAGGTATAATAAACTTCCTTGAAAGAATATTTCAACTTCTGAAATCCATATTATTTTTGCCAGGAAACGGGCAATCAGTTGCATTAGGAACTACATATTAGACAGTATTGTGTAGTCATGTTTACCTGCCATAATGGGAAAATAAGCATAAACCGAATCAGTAAATTTTTCAGGTAACTGAGGTTTATCTCCTTTAAAGAACTATTTTGATTGGAAATGTCTTAATATTGTATCTTTTCAGTATCCCATAATGACCATAGTAACATAATCTACCTTGGTTTTTGACCATATTCAACATTTTATAAATGTACTATTCCTCTGTATTATAATTTCTGACAGCCCTCATGAGCTTTTGAGGCTGAAGGGTTACTTGGGCCTATAAGTGACCATAGATTTCTATGATTTGTTGGGGGGGACTACATTTTATAGGTTTTCTTTTTATTCTTTAACTGTAAGCTGTTACTTAGAGCTACTGACAAGAGTTCCTCGAATTACCATTCTATTTGCCCAACAACATTTTCTGCTTGTAACATAACATGGGTAGGGGGTAGAGGGGGCAGAGAATCAAATATCCAAGTTTACTGAATATGTATCCAAACTAAGGACATAATTGAGGGCCCGATGCTCTATTGCCAATTTTAAAAAAAAAAGAAAATAGGGCTATAGAACCTTCTTAATGAAATCATTTCTTTTGCCAAGAAGCTCTTTTTAAGTAACTTTACGTCTCTGTCTGAATCCAGATTATTGTAATTGCTTAATAGTTACATGTGGTCAGGGCTATAAGCATCATCAGAGTCTCATGTTATCATGCCAATTTAATAAAACACCAACAAAAAAAAAAACCCCACTTTTGAGCATTTACAGTGTGTAGTGTACTATGCTATCTCCTCTAGGGACCACAAAGCTTTCTTGGAAAGACTTTGGAATGGCAATGGAGAATACTTCCCCAGGAGCAGTATCTACTTGAGTCAATTCTGAAGCCATTTACGTTGGCTTTCAACACCCTGTTCCTTCAAATCTTATAGTGTTCCTTGAGATATTCAGCATTTTATTCAAACTTTGCTGAGCCCTTAAATGCATGTGCCTTATACCATGACACTGAAAGTAAAGGTACTCTGAGGATTGGTCCCAGAGGTGCCCCAGGGCTAGGGTTGTAAGCCGAGTAGCAGAGTCCAGCAGTAGTGATTGGCTGTATATTTTTAAGTGCTTTTTCTGCCTCTTTTGAGGTAGAGGTAGAGGAAGAGGAGAGTGAGCCACCTTTCACCATGGAGGAACCTGAGGCTCAGGAGTTGCCTGAGGATAGACAGTAAGGGGCAGACTGCTTCCCGGCCCCTGCCTTCTACCTTGAAGCCAGTCTCCCTGCACAGTGCAGCACCCCATGGGGCCTTTGGCCAGCAGCCACACAGCGGACAGACAGACACAGCTGCTGTGAGCCCATTGAATATTGAAGGACCACTGGGAATGAATTGTCTTTTAGATTTTGCAGGGGTGTTGCGTGTTTCTCTGTGCTTTGCGTTTAATGCCCAAACCTTAACCCTCCCCCCCTCAAAAAAATAAAAAAGTAAAAGTGTAGCAAGGGAACATTTGAATTTTACAGTATCAGGAGAAAGGGAAAATCAGGAAGATAAGAACAAAAAGGGCTGTTCAATTTCTGGCTAAGTACATTGCTGCCTAACTTAAAAATCACACTTTATTAAGCTTCTCTTGCAGCTAGACACGGTTCTGTGCCTATGTTCTAGCCAATGAAATATAAGTGGAAGCATTATGTGGAACCTTTGGGAAGTCTTCTCAAAAGGGAAAGGCACATCCCTTCTTTTGTTTTTTCTTTCTCTTTCCTGCGGATTAAAGCATGAGATCCCCTGGTGAAGATAGGATGCAGCCAGATAGAAGGAGCTTGGGCCTTTGATCAACTGCCATACCAGCTCTAGATGTCTAATCTAGATTTCTAGGCTTTTACATTAAAGAACAATAGCTACAATCTTGTTTGAAGAAAACCCAAAGAACAGATGTGGCTGGACAAGCCCCTCCTCCCACATGCTTGCCCTCCCTGGCTACTTCTAGTCATCTCAGATCCGAGCTCCATTTCCCCCCGGCTTTATGGTCTACTCTAAATGAAATCCCGCATGCATTCTCATCCTTTCTTTCAGAGCCAGCCGTTAAAATCACTGCGCAAGCTGTTACATCTGTCTTCAGCCTCAAATCACCCGGCTTCCTCAGATCCCCGCTTCCAGCCCTTAACAGCTCAACAAGCCAAAAATTCCTTCTCAGAAATTCGGATTCACCCCCTGAGCCAGGCCTCTGGCGGGAGCAGCAACATCCGGCAGGAGCCCACCCCAAAGGGCAGGCCAGCCCTCCAGCTGCCAGGTCAGATGGATCCTGGTTGGCACGTGTCCTCTGTGACCAGGAGTGCCACAGAGGGGCCTTCCTACTCTGAACAGCTGGGTGCCAAGAGTGGGCCAAACGGGCACCCCTATAACAGAACAAATCGCTCACGAATGCCAAATCTGAACGATTTAAAAGAGACAGCCTTGTAATTTGTGCTGGTGGGGGAGGGGGGATGGGCAAGCCAGTGGGGAGGGGCAGGGTGGGCTGGGCTGGGCTGGGGAATGGGCTGGGCCAGGGTGGGAAGCCAGTATTTTCAGCTTTATGAAGGCGTGTGCAATATTGTATGTGTGGGGCCTTTGGGCTCCTCACAGCCACAAATGCTAGTCAGGGATCTTAGAGCCACAGGGGTTCCTTAGGGATCGCCACTCCCCACAGGTCTTGTGTGAGAATGGACAGAGCGTGCCATTGAGAAGGATGGAATTCTTGCCAGTTTCTCCCCCTTACACTCCAGCTTTAGTGCAATCTCTGTTGAACTTAGGAAAACCGGGACGTGTCCTGGCACTGCAAGGGATAGAAAAATCCATGTTGACCGATGCCCTTACCACATATTTTTTTCTGCCTAGACTAAATGTGGGGTTTATTGTAATCCAAGAGTATCCCTTTGAAGGGTTAGCAGATAAACTGTATGTCTTAAATTGTTTTCTAAACTTCCATATTTGATAGGATTTGTAACATTTATTTATAATTAATATTGTACTGTTACAATCATACCTTTTATGTTATAATGTAAAGTTATTTTGAGCTGTTTGGAACATTGTGAAGCAGTGGGACAGCTACAGTAGTTTCTATAAAAACTAAACAGTAACATTTATATATTGCATCAGGAGTATTTTATTCTATATATAAATATATATATATGGTAAATATCTGTCTGTTTTATAAATATATTCATTTAAAGAAAGTATCGTTATGACACTATCTGCCATATTTTTATACATTTGTGATATGAAGTGAGTATTATACTTCTAATAAAGGGAGTTGATTTGTGGCTACATGTGACTGTAACAGGATGAACCTTGCTCAACTTTTAGGCCCCAGCAGTAGCCTCTAGACATGATCCTTGGTAGCAGACGAAATGCAGCATCTCTTTCCAAATCTGCAGGGGAAGAAAGTTGGGTAGGCCAGTGAGCATTCCAGCAGGCCTTGTTTCCATCCTCACACACTTGGCTCCTGTTTGTGTCCAGGGACGTTACTTGCACATGAGGGGAGAATAGATTGAGGCATTACTCATGGGTCTTTGTAGAGAGAATGTGCTCTTCCACTTAGCATTAGTGTAGAGCGTAGACCAAAGATTTGCCAGTGAACATTCCTTGCGAGGTTGTAAGAGGCACCTGTCTGCAGATCTTGCAAACCAGCTCTATGCTCCTGAACACTGTCCACTGTCCTAGAGACACTTGGCTGGTGGGGTGTGAGATACATGTGTGGCATTTTTATTTCTAAATGCTTTTTATTTTACTGCTCTTTCCAATACTATATTTTAAAGGCTCCTGGAACAATTCCAGATATAAAGAAAACTGCTCTATCCATTTTTTTCTTCCTGAGACTGTCCATTTATAACAAGGTTATCATGCACACCTGTATATATATATATATGCACACACACACCCACCCATCAGAACGGGACCTATCTTTCCCTCATTTGATCTCTTTCAATTCCCAAGTTACTCCCAAGTACCATCAAGGCCTTTGGCCAACAAGTATTATACCCCCGTGTCTTTGGGCCATCCTTGACAGAAAGCACCTCAGCACCATCATCTATCAGTAGTAGTAGGTTTTTGGAAGTAGTCTCTTAGCAATAATACTTTTAAAGGTCCCTCCCACCCCTCAAAGAGGTAACTTCTCAGTGTTTCTTACTTGTTCCAGAATTCTGAGAGTGTCAGCCCCTGAATCAAGTCAGCTATAATTGAAATGTGCTGAGTTACTGTTAACCCTCCCCCAAGATTTTGAGAATCATAGCTCTGATAATCATGAGGATTATAAAGGAAAAGATCCTAGTTTCTTTGAAGCTTAAATTGTGCACATATTGCATTTTTATATAAATACTATAACAATGTGTATTGATTATATATAGAGGTCATTTTAAGGTGCTTTTTATTTAATTTTAATAAGTGTAATAGGCACTAAAACGAAACTCAACTGGGTACTATTATTGAAACAATTTGATTCAAATCAATAGTTTTGCATGCTCTTTAGTTCTCTATCTTGTTTCTTTCACCAGTTCAGTACTGTTTGGGTAGCTCTGAATTCTGGCTTTTCCCAGGCAGCTGCTTGGTAATACAAGTGAGGTAGACCCTCAGCAGTTTTTGCCTAGATACTAACGACTAAAAGGGTGTATATTTAACTCTTCTTTTTCATACTAGATATATACCTTGTATTCCCCCTTGCAAACCAGAAACTACGTTTTTTTCCTCTGGAAAGACTTCTCACTGTGCTGTATGCTTAGGAACTGCGCAGTCCCATTGCCATGCTGTGTGGCAGTTGAGGCTCGTTGTCACCTAGGGGCTGGTTTCCCATGTTGCCATCCTTGCTAACACTGGGATCTCAGATATTTGCAGAACATTTATATTCATGATGGTTCTTCAAAGAAGGGCTAGAATAATTGCCTTCTACCTAGAGCAACGTAAACCTAACTGATGAAGAGTCAATACGTACTTTTCGTACATTCCCAGATTTGAGCCAGAAGATATCTACAAATATCTACAATGTTTTCAACTGGTGTTTCAAGGTAGCTCTTTTATCCTCTTCTCAGCTTTTGTCTGTTCTGACTTTTCACTGATCCTCAGTAAGCTGTAAGTGAACTACAATCTGCATTTCTAGCATGTAATTCTCTTCCTGCTCGCAGAGGGGTGGTAAAGTTTTCTCTTAGATCTAACGGGCCCTCTCTTAGCTTTTAACTGTCGTTTTCCCCTTTGGCTGATGGAGAATTATTGACCTCACAAAAATTGCCATCCATGATAGGAAGGACTTGATTTAAAGTCATTTTCTTTAGGAAGGGGAATCTATAACATCCATGTTCTATTGTCTTCCCTAACTTCCTAAACGATAAAAAGGTTGAATGAAAGTTTATAAAGTACTTTGTTTTATGAAAATATTACTGATCTCTTTTGAAAAGAAACTCCGCTTTGCTGGTTTTCTACTTCTCTGCCATCCTCGCTTTTCTTCTCTAAAGTTCTAAATGAACTTTAGCTCTAAAGTTCTAAATGAACTTTAACTGAACCTTGTTTGGTCTTGCTCTGAAGTTTAGCCTCTCTCCAGAGCCCAAGACCAAAAGGGAGTGCTCCCTGCTAAGAGGCTCAGGTGAGCTGACTCAACAGCAGTGGTTCTAAACTAAGGGCAAATCTGTCCCATAGGGCACATTTGGCAATGTCTGGGGACATCTGGTTGTCACAACAGCGGGGGGATGGTGGTGTGCTACTGGCATCTAGTGGGTAGAGGCCAGGGATGCTGCTAAACATCCTACAATGCACAGGACAGCCCCCCAAACAAAGAATGATCCAGCCCCAAACATCACTTTTGCTGAAGTTGAGAAACCCTGCTCTATACCATCCCAAGCCCACCAGTCTGCAGAGCTTGGCTCTGGCCTTGTTCTTTCCAGGCTACAGAACTACAGGTATGAATTCTTCAACATCACATTCTCGTAAAGAGTCTTCTACCACTATTCTTGAATCCTTGGAATCCTATTGTTCGTTTCCATTGTCTTGGGCCTGCTAAAAGGTGCATACTTTGGGAGGAGACTGGAGTTATTTTATAGGTATTTGAGAACTTAAATTCTAGGTTAGCATCCTTAGAAAATCTTTCATAGAGCCATGAGGCTTATATTTAGAAGCAAGCAACAGCCTGGCAGATTGGCATGATTTTTACCAACTGCTCAAAGGCATCCATGGCTTTTAGCTGTGTCTCCTGAAAGAAAATGTCTTTGTTTTTTATTCAAGTCATTTAATAGCTCTTTACAAATATTAGCATATGGCAGACTGATTAGAAGCAAAAAAACTCTTTATTGGTGGTTGTGATGTGGCTGTTATAGAAGTATTTGTGCTGTATGCTTTGGTTAAATCTGTTTTAAAACATGCTTTAAGATTCACCATATGCAGTTGTACTTTAATTCTAAGCTCAAAGCTACGCTGGTCAGTCTCTAGTCACGCCGTGTATTATAAAGTATGTTGTGGTTGTAGAGTTAGCCAGTTTAGCATGTTCCTAATCTGAAAATTAGTGGACTATACTAGGAAATGCTATCCCATTTTCCCTTCCCAGCACCTCTTAGTTAATATCATAGTATCCTCACTTATTAAACTAGTTTGTAGAGTAAATAAGGAAAAAAGCCATTTATTTTCTTCTAGCCATGTATTGAGAGTGACTCATAAGTGTACAACTTTTTTTCAAAGGCCAGAGGATTACTTCTCAAGTGTGTAGAAGGGTCTGTCCATTCCTGTTCACCTTGGTCCCGGTGGTGACTGAACTCTTTCAGCAAAGGCAATAGTTCATTAGGCTTCATTGCTAGAGCTCAGCTGGGAACTCAGTAAATCTGCACATTCTCTCCTGGTCAGAACGTGTTTTCTGGGGAGCATCCCTTTTATATCTAGAAGTTCGTTAGCACCTTCATTATGGTGGGCTGTTGAGCTCCATGTGGGTACTAAGATCCACAGACTCATACCTTTGTGATCTGGGAGTGTGGTATGATACACTGAACCAAGTCCGAAAATAGTGAAATATTTCCTTGCCTCCTTCAGTTCATCGCTAACAAGTGTGTAGGCAGAGAAAACTTATTTATGGTTTAAAAGCTAGTAATTCTGGTTTCTTTGAAAGGGGCTGCAGAAAAGACAGTACAAATGTTATAAGTATCCTACTGCTAATCCCCAAGGCCAGAATCTCACAAGAAAGTCCTCTCGGACTTAAAAGGCCGGCTTACAAAAAAAAAAACAAAGAACAAACTCGTAAGTGGTTATGATTTCTTCCTTTTGCTTCTTGACCAGCTGAGATATAAAATATCTTAAGGTCTCGTTCAGGTGATTAAAAAATTCTCTTTGAAACCATGAGTAAGAAACCATGCAAGAAAATGAAGTCCCTCATCTGTCTGCTCGTACGCAGTGTGGGAGAAGTAAGGTGGCTAGGAAACTCTGGGCCTCCTGTCCCATTTGGTTCTTTTTTTTTC